TCTTTGATCATTTGGAACTTTATAAAACTAACATGATGATGCAGGGGGCAAATGAGGCTTTTATGCGCAAAGGTCTAGCTATTACATTGAAAGGTGCAGCTCAGTCTTGGTTCAGTAGCCTGGAGCCAAGATCAATCACCATATTCAAGGAGCTCAGCCACTCATTTCTATCCAGATTTGTGAGCAGTCATAAAGCAAAGAAAATGACCCTAAACTTGATGTCAATTCACCAAGGGTGGAATGAAACTTTGAAAAGCTATGTCACACATTTTAACACAGAAGCTCTTTAGGTTCAAGACCTAGAATAGACGATCGCTATTGCTGCAATGACAAGTGGACTCAATGATAAAGAGTACCATTTAAAACTAACATTGTCACTAAAACTACCAAAAACTCTTACCAACATCCTACTAATAGCAAATAAATACATAAATACTTAAACTACAAGAAAAATAAATCGAGGTGAGAGAGGCTCATCCCCACTCTTCGATTGTCAAAAAGGTAAAGATTTCTATAATCCTCCCCTAAGAAAGAGACGATATAGGGCTAGAAACCTTAGTTTAGAAAGAAGCTACACTGTACTGAATACCTCATATGAGAGGGTTTTGATGTAAATTGAAAGAAATCCTAACTTTAGATGGCCTAAGCCACTGAGACAAAACATAAAGAGGGATCCGACAAAAAGATATGCCTTTCACAGGAACATCGATCATAATACCAAAGATTGTGTCGACTTAAAACTTTAATAAGATGAGATCAGTTGAGGAGATTTACGGGATACAGAAGATAAGATCGACCTAAATGGATTACAGACAAGACCATAGAGCGTCCACCTGGGCCAGAGAGGAAGAGCAAAACAAGAAAGAAGTGATGCTTGATGAGAAGAGCCAAATCAAAAAGAGGGCTAAACTGATAATAGTAACTAATTGCCAAGGTGATTAATGTGGTCAAAGAAGGTAGCTCCACCTCAATGAAAAGGAAATTTAACTAGGGCATGGTAATGGCGGTAAGCACCTCGACCAAAAAAAAAAGACTAGAGAGATGAGCCGATCTCATTTAGCTCGAAAGATCTGAAGGGAATCCAACACCCACACGGTGATACCGTAGTGATCACAGCCTTGGTGTATAACTATGTGGTCAAGAGAATCCTATTTGATAATGGGAGTTCAACCGACATCATGTACTATGGCTATTTGAAGAAAATAAAGATTGATGAAGATCAGTTAAAGTTGATCACCACCACATTAGTGGGGTTTGAGAATGAGCAGGTGCCCATAAAAGGAACTATCAAGCTCTCAATCTTTTTAAGGACTAAAACGAAGATAATTACCTCGATCGTAGAATTCATGGTAGTGGATGTC